CTCCGCCATTGCCCACGGCTGTGAGTTTGGGCAAGAGACATGCCTCTTTGAGCCTCAGTTTCCACACCTGTGAAATGGGGTAATAATAGTCATATTGGCCTTGTCAGGTTATGGTGAGAATCCAATAAGATAATGCTGGTAAACTGTGCAGCACAGAATCAATGCCCAGAAAGAGTTGTGGTTCTCATCAGCATTATCGTGTCACGGACATTGTAAGCAGGAGACAAGGACGTGGGCCCGAGAAGCTTTCAGGAGAGAGCTCTGGGGTGTGTGTGTAGGGAGTTGGTTGCCCTCACCCTGGGGGCACACACACTGCAGGAGCTGGGAGGAGCTGGGGCTGCCTGAAATGAGTGTGGGATGAAGGAGCAGCAGGGTTGAGGAGGGGATTCTGTTACCATTTTAGGCTCAGATAGATTGAAAAGATACCTGGGCAGGTTTCATGCCCACCACCCCCAGCTCCAGGGCCATCCCTGGAGGGAGTCCAGACCTGTTTGTTTTTTAAGTTGTAAGAGCATTATGGAGGGGAAATTCACATACCATACGTGTCACCTACTTAAAGTGTAGAAGACCTAGGGTTTCAGAGGTCCATCCTCTGTCAGTGGTTTTATTTTGATTTTTTTCTCTGTAAACTTTTAACCTTCTTTCCCCCATTTCAATTCCTGTGAGCTATGCCAATAAATTTTGCCATTATTTTTAAAAGGGTATGAAATCCAATGGTTTTTAGTAAACTCTTGGAGTTGTGTAGCCTCACCACCATTGATTTTAGGACATTTTCATCACCCCCAATCCTGTTCCAGTTATTCCTCTTTTCCCCCTACCACCACCCCCAGCCCTGAGGCAACCACTAACCTCCTTTCTGTCTCTGGATTTACCTATCATGGACTGTTCACATAAATGAACGTGTGCAATATGTGGCCTTTTGCCGCTGACTTCCTTTGTTGAGCATAATATTTTCAAGTTGCATCTATATTGTAGCCTATATTACATCTATATTGTCAGAACTTCATTTTCTTTCTATAGCTGAATAACATTCATGGTGGGGATAAACCACCTCTCCATCCATTAATTGGTTGATAGACACTTGGATCGTTTCCACTTCTTGACTATCATGAAGAATGCTGCTGTGAATATTTGTGTAGAAGCTTTTATGTGGACACATGTTTTCAGTTTTCTTCAGTGTATCCCCAGGAGTAAAGTTGCTAAGTCATATGGTAACTCTACGTTCCACTTTCTGAGGCCCTTCCAAACTGTTTCTGAAAATGGCCGCACCACTTACATGCCTACCAGCAAATCAGGATTCAATTTCTCTACCTCCTTGTTAATATGTGTTATTGTCTCTCTTTTTGATCACCGTTATACAGATGGGCATGAAGTGGTACCTCACTGTGGTTCTCATTCGCATTTCCCTGATGGTTAGTAATGTTGAGCATCTTTTTTAAAAAATTGTTTATTATTTTGTCTTATGTTTTGATTGCACTGGGTCTTTGAGCTGCGCTCCGGCTTTTTCTAGCTGCGGTGAGCCAGGGCCACGTTCTCTTTGTGGGGCCTGGGGCTTCTCATGATGGGGGCACAGGCTCTGGGTACACCGGCTTCTGGGGTTGTAGCACATGGTCTCAGTAGTTGTGGCTTGAGGGCTTAGTTGTTCCAGCACATGTGGAAATGTCCCAGATCAGGAATCAAACCCATCTCCCCTGCAGGCAGATTCTTCTCCACTGTACCACCAGGGACGTCCCTAAGTCGAGCATCTTTTCGAGTGTTTATTGATCATTTGTATATCTTCTTTGGAGAAGTGTCAATTCTGATCCTTTGCCCATTTTTAACTTGGATTATTTGTCTTTTTATTATTGAAGTGTAAGTGTCTTTTATATATTCTGGATGTAAGTTCCTTATAAGACCTGTTTTGCAAATATTTTCTCCCATTCTGTCCCCCTCCTGCAACTTTACTGATGGTGTTCTTGGAAGATGAAAGTTTTAAATTTGGATGAAATCCAATGTGTGTATTCTTTTGTTACTTGTGCTTTTTACTATCATATCTAAGAATCCATTGCCTAGTCCAAGATTTATACTTAGGTTTTCCTTATCAGAGTTTTATAGCTTTAACTATAACATTTAGGTCTTTGGGTTGATTTTTGCCTGTGATATGGGACAGGGGCCCAAGTTCATTCTTTTGCATATAGATAGCCAGACAATTAGCATCAATTGTTGAAAAACTCTTCTCAAATTGAATTGTATTAGCACCCTTTTCGAAAATCAGCTGTCCAGAATATAAGGACTGATTTCTGGACTGCCAGCTCTCCCTCTTTCTGTGCTCTATATGTTTATTCCTGCTCGAGAAACAAACTGTCTTGTTTATTGTTGCTTTGTAGTAAGTTCTGAAATCCAGAAATGTTAAGTCCTCTAACTTTGTTTTGGTTTTTCTGGGTCTCTTGAATATCTATATGAATTTTAGGATCAGCCTGTCATTTTCTGTAAAGAAGCCAGCTGGAATTTTGACAGGGACTGCATTGTATCTGTGGATCAATTTGGGGAGTGCTGTCATCTTAACAAAATATTAAGTCTTCTAATCCATGAATGTTGGATGTCTTTCTATTTGTTTAGATTGTCTCTTACTTCTTTTAATACATTTTTATAGTTTTCAGAGCATAAATTTTTTATTTCTTTTGCTACATTTATTTGTAAGTATTTTCTTTTTTGACACTCTATTGTAAATCAAACTGGATTTTTATTTAAAATTTTTCTTAATTGCAACTGTTTATGTTATTTTTGGGTTGTTCATCCCTTAGGATTTTCTATATAAAAGAGCATGTCATCTTCATATAGAGATAGCTTTATTTTTTCCTTCGAAGTTTGTGGCCTTTTATTTAATTCTTTTGCCCAAGTACCTTGGCTAGGCCCTTCAGGACATCTGCTTTTGCCCAGAAAGAGGGTCCACCTGGGCCCACACGCCCTCTGTCCCCACAGTTCGGGGCTGCCCCAAGCAGCCCCTAGGGTCCCTGGGGAGCTCCAGCTCTTCACCCACCCCTCCCCTTTCCCTGGCCTCTGACCTCATACTTCTCCTGCCCTCACCCCATTCCTTTGCATTTATTTTTTTGGTTGCACCACACAGAATGCAGGATCTCAGTTCCCCAACCAGAGATTGAGTCCACACGCCCACGTCGGGATCATGGAGTCTTAACCACCGGACCATGAGAGGAAAAAAAGTCCCCATTTTTTTTTAAACTTCAGGGAATGTAGTAGCTCAGGGTTGACCTGCTATGATGTAGATATCCTGAAAGTCTCCAGGATCTCCCAAGCCTGGGTCATCCTGGGTTAAGGGAAGTTAGTAAGTTTCTTCCCTGCAGGACTTGTCAGAGCCTTCATTGTATTATGTCCCCTGGGTGTTTTCAAGACGGGACTGAGACACTGTGTTTCTCCACTCAGCTGGACTAGGGGACAGTGTTCTCCTTGTGGAATCTCCATGGCCCAGAGATGCCCATGTCTCACCTTGGGAAACGCTAGCGTTATGGCAGGTCTCTGGGCTCAACCCTTACCTTCTAGCCTGGGAGAAGCCATACCGGGGGGGAGGATCAGCTCTGTCATCAGGAGATCTAACGGCTTGGAAAAGAGCAAGGAGTCAACAAAGGTTCCACCCAGGCATCAACCCTGGGGAAAGACCAGTTTATTGGGGAAAAAGCGGAAAGGGCAGAAGGATGCACTTGTGAGAGGGTGCAGCACGCACGCATACACGCGCACACACACGGAGTTCTGTGCTTCCTGTGGACACATGTTCACATATAAAAAGAATAATGATAGCCAGCAAGGACCTACTGTGTAGCATAGGGAACTCTATTCAACATCTTACAGTAACCTATGTGGGAAATGAATCTGAAAAGTACATATATGTGCTTATAACTGAACCACTTTGCTGTACACCTAAAGCTAACACAATGTTGTAAATTAACTGTATTTCGAGAAAACTTTTTAAAAATAAAAGGAAAGGTTTAAAAAAAGAGTGAAAGAAGTCTGAAGGGCTCCACTTCCAATGCCTACAGTTCTGTCTGGGGCCGGGAGCTGAAGGGGCTCAGGTGGGTTTGCTGTCTGAGGGGGTTATTTATGTCTAGTATGTTATCACAAGGAATGGACTCATAAATTTATTTGCAAAACATGTAATTACAATGCAAAAAAATACTAAAGAGAAAGGAAAGTTTCCAGAGTCTGGCAGGCAGAACCACTGCAATGACACATCAACCCCCGCCTTTAGGTTTAGAGCATCCAAACCCTTTCTGGGATCTGGTCCCTGATAAGCCTGTGCTTGGCTAAACCTGCATAGTCCCAGGGCAGCAGAAGAGTTCCTCATGGAAATAGAGACTTTCCCTTTGATATGGGGGGAAAAACTGACTGCCCAGGGGAGGGGGTGGCCGAGCCCGTTGGAGTGGGGGAGGCATGGTTAAGGTTGGGAGGGAGAGTACCCAGTAATATACGGCTTTAGAGGAGACGATGCTTGGGCCAGGTCCTGAAAGGTGAGCTGGAGTTATCCGGGTGAAGGAGCAAAATTCTGAGTAGAGAGACCAGCAGAGACAAAGGCTCAGGAATGTTAATAATAATAATAATAGCAAGTACACATAGTGCTTACCAAGCCTCAGTCTCTGCTCCAAACTCTTTAAATAAACTTCAGAGCAATGCAGTGTGGTAGGTCCTTTAGCATCCCGATTCACCTAGGAGAAAACTGAAGCACAGAGAGCTTAAGCAATTTGCTGAAGGTCACACAGCAAGGCAGTGAGACCTGAGCTCTTCATCACTGTGCTTCTTGCAAACAGTGGGACTCGTGTGAGAAGGCCTGAGAGAGGTGCAGTTAGAATAGTGACAAGGGGCCCCAGATGGGACCAGAGGAGGGGACAGCCCCTCTGGGCCTGGAGGGGAGATGCCCCTTCTCTGTGGGGGCTGCGTGTGCCCTATCTACACGTACATTGTCCCCAGCTCAAAGTAGCTGGCAGGGGAGAGGGCCAGAAGTGAGGGAGGTGTCAGAGGGGTGGGGGAAGTAAAGCCTCCTCACAAAGTGGCATGCGAAGCGGCAGGAAGCAGAGTCCCCAGATGACACCTGTGGGCCCGGGGGCCACGTGGGACATGGAGTAGAGAAAGGCCAGACTTGCCCAGTCCGCCCCTGGAGAGCGGGAAGCAGCCTCCCGCACAGAGTGTGGCAGTCTCGTGACGTTGTGCCCTTCTGGGCTGGCACCATTGCGCAGGGCCAGGGTGTCAGAGCACAAAGCCCAGGGTCCTTCAGGACCCCCGGGCGCCTGCTGGGAGAAGGGGGCGAACCTGGGCGGGCCCAGGCCTGTTCGCTGCTCTGGGAAGTGGGAGGAAAAACCTCCAGCAAATCCTCGTGCAGGGCTGCTGCACGAGCCGTGCCAGGGCCGTGACCACGCTTAGGAGCCCAGGAGAGCCGGGACCCCCGAGAAGCTCAGAGGCTGGGGTCCGGGGCAGACAGGCCCTCAGGCCCCCGCAGGATGGGCAGGGGGGAGGGCCCTGCTTAGAAGTCCTGTGCGGCTCTTCTTCTGGTCAGGAGACAGCCAGCCCCGCACACTCGTCTCTGTCCCACTGAACCCCCACAGCAACCCTGCCAAGGTGGCCTTCTTGTCCGAAGCACTGAGGAGGGAGGCGACTCGCCTGTGGTCATCAGGCTTGGCGACTGGGCTTGGATCCTGGGGCTGGGAGACCCCAGTGCTCCACAGGGGGCCTTCCCTGGCCTCCCCGGGAGGGATGGGGAGGTCTTGGGGACATCCCACTCCTGTCCAGGAGCTTCCTGGCAGGAGCACCCACCCCCATGGGACATTCCTGAGGCTGAGGATGGGCTTGGGCCGATGGCCCTGTACTCTAGATGGCATCGTTCTCTTTGGCTGGGAGCTGGTTCCCCACCTAAGACGCCCGCCCTCCAGGACCAACGTTGGCAAGCCGAGAATTTGGATGGTGCAAGTTTCTGGGCCATGCCCTCGGGAGCATCTTCTCCTAAAGGGCATGCCCCTCAGTGGTCCCCTCCCTGACTCGGCTCCCCGAGGAGAAATCACCCCCAAGTCCCTGGGCCCCTTGGGGAGCTGGCGAGGTGCCTGGGGAAGAGGCTGCCCTGGCTGCCCGCCCTCCCAGCCCTGTCGCCCCCACAGGTAGCCCCTCATCGCTGTTGTCTTGCTGTTGGCCAGGGGCTTCTCCGCCTCCCACTGCTGCTGGCTGCCGGCCAGGGCCGGCAACAGCTGCCCGTTGCCCCAGCGCCTCATCGGGTTCCTCCACCCACTCACCGTCCTGCCCAACCCCGAGGCCTGGAGAACTTGCTCATGCATCTCCTCGAGCGCTGCCAAAGAGCCTGATACCACCTGGTCCCAGACCCCAGGCTCACTTGGTTGCTGCCTGGCAGAGAGGCCGGGGCAGGCTGGGTGTCCCTATGCATTGCCATTGGAAGCGTGGGCATCGGGGTTCTTCCCGGCAGGGCTGACTTGAAGGAATGAGTAGGTCCCCCCAGCCCTGCCACTTCTCTCGTGGCTGGGCGGTTTTGGATGGCTTCAGTGCTGGTTCCCACCCCTGCCCATCAGGGCCCCCTGAGCTCCAGGCCCTTCCTGCAGCTCACGGCGATGATCGCAGTCAACAGACCCGGTACCTGGCTGGGTACCGCCCTTCTCTGGCCAGCCCTGTGTGGGGCAGTTCAGCCACTCCCTGCTGTGTGGCCTCAGGCAGAACCTCTACCCTTCAGGTGGCCCCTGCCTGACTGGCTTCAGTGGATTTTGAGAAATGAGTCCATCAGAGTAGGTGGCTTTTGGAGCCTTTTCTGTGAGTTACACGCCTGGCAATCACCATGACCCCTCCTCCCTGGAGGCCCGCCTCCCAGCTAACACATCCCTCCATACCCACCCCTCACCCCACACTGCAGGCTGCAGGCCCCAGGGGGAAGGGCTGAGCTTCAGGCTCCCATCCAGGGAAACCAGGATGACAGAATCTCCAGGCTCAGGGACTGTCCTCTAGGTGGGCCTTTAAGGTGGGAGGGTTTTGCCTGGAGGGGTTGATGGAGCAGTGACTGAGCTCTGGACACTGGGCCCAGGTGACTCAAGTTTGGATCCAGGCTCAGCCTCTGGATGGCTTATGCCCTCGAGGTGGGAGCTGAGACACGTGCCAGATGGATAGAACCACAGAGGAGATGCTTTCCTGATGGGTGAGGGGTCTCTGGAGCTGCTCCCACCAGGGTACCACAAAGGTATCTCAGCCCAGAAGGCCAGGTCTCGGCCTGGGCCTCAGTGGCCAAGTCAGCCTCGTCCTGGTGACCTTGGCGTCCCTCTGTCCTCTAATCTACCTCGCAGTGCTGTGACCCACCACCGCTCAGTCACCTGATAGGGATGCCCTCCCTTCCTCCCCTGCCTCCAGGACCTCTGCCCACCTGCCTTTCTCCCTTCACTGGCTTTACTAACTTAAAACATAAGCCAGCACCAAGAAATGGTCTGCTGGAGAGACTTATCCCACAGGTGGAGGTGCTGCTCAGCCCAGAATGAGCAGTAAATGTGGGCCCCACTCTCTCAGCCCCTGGTCTGGGGCTGCCTCCGGCATCTCAGGATTGACCTTGACTGCCAGCAAGCTCTTGCTGGGTGCCTGGCGCCTGCAGGGGGCTTGTGCTGCATGTGGCCTGGCTCTTGTGAGCACACAGCAGCCTGAGCATGGAGGATTGTCATTGGTTTTACTTCCCAGCTAGGGAAATCGAGGCACCTTGTCGTGATCTAAGAGCCCGGATTGAAACTCAAGCCCTCTGGCCCCAGAGTCCAAGCTTTGAAGGAAGCTGATGCATCCTTGAGCCTCCCTGAGCTTCAGTTCCTTCATCTGTAAGATGGGGGCATGATTTGATGATGTCCCAATTATAAAAGGTCTGGCATGGTGCCTGGGATGTGTTCCTTTGTCTTTCTGGTGTCTTTACTGCGTGTCACCTGCACAGGGGGCTTTCCAGGTGGTCCTGGTGGTCAAGAACCTGCCTGCCAACGCAGGAGACATGAGAGATCCAGGTTCTATCCCTGGGGTGGGAAGATCCCCTGGAGGAGGACATGGCGACCCATTCCAATATTCTTGCCTGGAGGATCCCATGGACAGAGGAGCTTGGCAGGCTACAGTCGATAGTGTGGCAAAGAGTCAGCGGCTTAGCACACACCTGCATCGGACCCTACAAAGGCTGGCTCACTGGTTGGGCCAGAGGTGTGAGGGGGCAGGCAGGCCCCACAGGATGCTCCGCCCCCTCCCTGCCCCCCTCGCCCCCTTCCCCCCACCCCCCCCCCCAGTCAGGAGAGACTGGCAGCTGCAGCCCCCGCTCACACCCTCAGCAACACCTCCCGATGTGCTGCTCTGCAAACTCCTCCCACTCCACCCTCCCACCCCCACCCCCATCCTGCCCATGTGGTCCGTGACCCTCTGCACCTGCATCCCTGCCCAGCCCGGCCCCTGGCCCCAGGAGTGGAGAACACCTTGGTGTTTGGCTCCAGCTGCTTTGAGAATGGATGGGAAGAGCCAAGTGTGGGGTCGGGGAGTGGGGGAGAGATGAGGGGGCAGGAGTCCTTCACTCACTCCTCCCAAACCCCACTTCACACCCCTCTATCTCTCTCCTCTCCTGCTGCAAGTGGGGAAGGGTCCCTCCTCTCCCAGGTCAATCCCTCCTCTTGGATGACAGACCCCAGCCCCTCCTGCCTTTCAGGGAGCTTCATGCTTACGTGGTCCTTCTCTTCTGGCCTATCCATCCCAGGACATGACCTAGAAACCTCTAGCCAAGGAACCCCCGACTCTACGCCACACCAAGGCCAAACTTTTCCAAATGGACCCAGGTCCTCTCAAACTTGACTTTTGACCCCAGTTCCCCCACCCCCTCCATTAAGTCAGATGTCCCGCTGCAAGACTGCCAAGTCCAGTGGCTTCTTCTTTGTCCTCATCTTGCTACATGTCCCTCCTCTGTGGCTCCTGTTTCCTTTTACTAGCCTCCTCCAGGCAGGGTGGGTCCTGACCCTGGCCTTGGCATATAGGCACGGGGAGGTGAGCCCCCCAGACTCAGCGCTCCAGAGCCTAGCCTCCCACAGCCCCAGACAACCCCTCCTTGCTGTCTCCCAGGCACCAAAATGCAACAGGAACCGCACAGATTTCTCCTTTGCCCCTCGACCCAGTCTTCCCTATCAGCATTCCCCACCCCTGCCTCCGCCGCACGGGTGCCAGGAACCTGTGCCTCTCCTTGGCTCCTGGCGCCACCTGTCCCACACTTGGCCCACCAACCAGGTCTGCGGTTTCTGCCTCCAGCCCCTGTCGTGTCTGGGCTCGCCCGCTTCCCACGGCTCCAGCTGGCCCCTCGTCACAGGCCGCTGTCCTCGGTCCCCGGGGTCCCCTTGCTGGGTGCCCTCGTTTCCTGGTCCCCTGCAGCCAGCGCTCCTCCCTGTGAACAGAGGGACGCTGTAAAGTGACGGCTGAATCACAGCACTCAGCCCTCAGAGGCTCCCATCCAACCAGATGCTGCCCTCCAGTCCCCCTCTGGTCACCCCAGATGTCTGATGCCACACGTTCGCTTCCTTCCGGCCCCAGGACCTTTGCCCAGGCCAGTGCCTACCGCGCCACGCTCTCCACAGGGTACCTGGGGTTCTCTTGGCTGGCCTAACCTCACGTTTACTCTCTCACATCTTAGAGTAGGGGTCCTCAAACTCTGGGATCTAATGCCTGATGATCTGAGGTGGAGCTGATGTAACAACAATAGAAGGAAAGTGGACAATAATGCACTTGCATCATCCCGAAACCATCCCCCCTACCCGCCCTGCCCCGTGGAGAAACTGTCTTCCAGTAAACCAGTCCCTGGTGCCAAAAAGATTGGGGATCATTGGCTTACAGGGTCAGCTTCACCCCATTTATAGGCAGGACAACGCGGCCTGCTTTTGTGTCCCCGGGGGGCTCCGGAGGCTGGGGCAGCCAGGGGTCATTCCACCAGGCAGAGCCAGAGGGCTCTGCCTTGCGCCGGGTGATTTCCTTCAGCCTGTTTTCCTCACAGTCTCACTCTGCAGGGAAATATCAGGACCACCCTCCTTTGCTTCGGTTTGCCTCTGACCCTGTTGTGTCTGGCTGGGGACTCTTGTCCACTTACTCAAGCTCTCTGAGCCTCAGTTTCCTTGTCTGTAGGATGGGCTCATAACTACTCACATGCAGGACTGTAAGGGTTAAGCAAGTCCGTTTTGTAAAGTGCCTGACTCATGGTAGGCAGCAATAAGCAACCGTTTTCATTATGACTGTGAAGCTGTAGGTCTGAGGAAACCAAGGTTCAGAAAGCATAAGTGCCTGCCCTAGGTCACACAGCTGCCCGCA